ACTCAGGTGACTCTGCAAACACAGATAAACCTCCAAGTGGCCTGAACGACTCTCTAAAAGAATGCAGATGACCAGCTGTCTGCAAGGAATATAAATCCTTCCATTCCCCACCATCCCAATAGAGATGAAGAAGCTTCTTGGATGAGAAGCGAAACGTCTTCAAAGAAAAACAAGAAAGTCCAGTTGCCTCATGAAAAAAGCACCTTTGGGCCTCTGGAAGGGAGGGGTGAAGAATTCAACCACATTCTTTATTCCAGTCAAACCCTTCTGGGCTACCCAGGTGAAGGTCTCTCACCTGCTCCTTCTGCTCCCCTGCCTGAGCCAGAAGGCCTTCCACCAGGGCCACCGCCTGGGAGCTGCTCTCTGCTCCACACTCCCGCACCCAGTTCTCCATCTCTGGGGGCAGAAGGGCCAGAAACTGCTCCAGAACAACCAGGTCCAGCATCTGGGCTTTGGTGTGCTTTTCTGCTTTGAACCATCGATTACAAAAGTCATGGAGTCGGCTGCAAAGTCCTCGGGGATCCTCAGAAGTCTGATATCGGACGCTCCTGAAGTTCCAGGACTGAACTTCTGAAGGGATGATGGTGTCTTCTTCCAGGATCTTCTGCCCACTTCTTGCCCAGGTTTCCTCACAGCGCCCAGGCTGAACAGTTGAAAGTCCTGTTCCAGTTCCCTCACTTGCTAAAGGTTGGGTCGCCATTCTTTTTCTGTCCTGTAACGCAACCCCAAATGGGTCCAAGGACTCTTATGTGAATCTCCAAGAAACGTTTCCTTTAAAGGACTGTTTCTCTTGCTGCAGCTGTGGTGATAGTTAGAGGTTCAGCCCTCTTTAGCCGAGAGATACTTTTATCTATAAAATTATATGATGAGTACAAATGGCTTCCAGTTTGTGTCTCTAAGATAGAAAATAAAATAAATTCAGAACAAAACCGAATAATAGAGTTGGAGGGGACCTTGGAGGTCTTCTAATCTAACTCTAATCTAATCAAGGAGAAAAGCAATCTAGAACTAAGGAGAAATTTCCTCACAGTTAGAACAATTAATCAATGGAACGACTTGCCTCCAGAAGTTGTGAATGCTCCAACAGTGGAAGATTTTAAGAAGAGACTGGACGATCATTTGTCTGAAATGGTATAGGGTTTCCTGCCTGAGCAAGGGGTTGGACTAGAAGACCTGCAAGGTCCTTTCCAACTCTATTATTCTATTCTATTCTATTCTATTCTATTCTATTCTATTCTATTCTATTCTATTCTATTCTATTCGTGCTGAATTAATGTATTTGGAGCATTTTCTATTTCTTGATTCTTTTTCACAAGTAAGGTCTTGCTTTTTAAAAACTAAACCTACATTCACCTCCAAGTGGCTTCACGCAACATGTCAACACTCCAACCAGAAAATCTCTGTTCACCTCAAAAGAAATGCAAGAACATGCATTAGGATGCTCCATTACCCTTGTTGAAGACTGACTTTTGGAGCGCCAAGCCAGACTCTTACAGGCAGGCATGTCCACACAACAAGTTCCCCCCCCCAAACAGGGTCTGGAGATACTGTCCTGCTTCACTGTCCTGCTTCCATTGTGAAGGATTTGGCTCTCTTTTGAGCCTCATCCAGCACCTAGTGCGAATCCGGACCCATCTGGGGCATCTCCTGTCTTGCAAGGCTTTTCTTATCTCTTGCTTGAGATCTTCCTTCTTCTACCCCCTTCATCCCCCCCAGCTGTTCCCAGAAAACCAGTCGGGAAGGACTTCCCCAGTCCCCACCTCTTTCCTGGGAATCCTGAGTTCCGTCGAGGAGGGGGCAACAAGGCTGGTCTGGTCTTCTGCTTCCCCCCCCCCACGTGTCTGTTGTGTGCATGGAAAAGGGGGGGGGCAGCAGGGGAACATGGGATTTGGTTTCTCCCACTCTTGGGACTCAGAAGACTGAACTTGGATGAGGACTTGGCATGTATCCCTCCCTCCTCCAGGATGAGGACCCTCCGCCTCCCTTTGCATGGGAAGAGAGACCCCCCCCTTCTCCTCCCTTAGGGCCACATCTGGCTGCCTCCCCTGCAAGACATTCCCCCCGCCTTTTTTTTCTTTTACCTGCAGCAAAGCTCAGAGGGTGATGGAGAGAGAGTGCAGCGTCCTAGAGAGGCAAAGCTCTGTGACGTCATTTCCTCCTACTCCTCCTCCTCCTCCTCCTCCGGAAAGCCAGCTGTGGCCTTCGTCCTCCAGCCGCTCCATGGTGAAGCGCCCTGTGTTCCCTTCGCTTGGCAGAGGGAGCCCCCTGGTGGATGCCTTGTGCAACGCAGGTGCTCAAGGCAAAGAGAGGAGAAAGGCTGCAATTTCCGTGAGAGGCTGTCATGTCCTCTCCAAAAGCGTCTTCTTGCCCTCCTTTCTTTTCTCTTTTTTTATAGAGGCTGCTACAAAGGGACGAAACATAGAATAAGACATAGAATAACAGAGTTGGAAGGGACCTTATAGGTCATCTGGTCCAACCCCCCCCCCACACACACACCGACCATGGAGACCCAACCCCATTTCATGCTCTCCCACAGCCCCAGTCGTGTTACCAGTGTTGTGTCGTGGATGTTCACGGCCCCACTCGTGTGAGCCTTGCCACGGGCATTTGTAGCCCCACTCCTGTGAGCGTCATCCTGGGCATTTGTGGCTGCATTTGTTTGAGCATTGTAGGCATTTGCGGCCCTACTTGTGCATTAGCTGACCCAGTCGTGCGAGTGTCATGAGCGTACATGGCTTCACTCACGCGAGCATCGCTGCAAACATTGCGGGTGTTCATGCACGAGCACACGGGCTAACCCCCCCCCCAAAACCGTCCCCTCACACCCATTCCAGCCCGCCAATGCCGAAAGGTTGGGAAACTCTGCCCTTAGGCATGGCAGCCAGCTGGGTGACTTTTGGCCTGTCCTTCTCTTTTGGTAAACCACTCACAGGCTGTTTGTTGTAGGAAAAACAGGAGTGGGTATTCAGCTCCAGTTCTGATGCCTTTTTAAAGAGAGGGATTTCCTTGGCACCATGGCCAGCTGAGCCAAGTACTCAGCCAACTTTTATCACAAGATACTTTCTCTTCCGAGAAAAAGTTACACTGGATCAATCCCTAATGGTTCAAACCCCCTTCTAAATCAGAGAATCTATGTCTTGGATGGAATTCCTAAGGACCTATGTGGCTGGACTTCAACCCAAACCCCCGATTCAACCATGGTTTTGTCATTAGGTGGGGAAAATTACTGGGGATATAAGGAAGAAAACCTTTGATCTTGGACATTGTAACTCTGGAACATTGTCTGGATTCCTTTCCTGTGCTGCATGGGTAAAAAGTGCATTTAAAAAAGGAAGAATGAAGCTACAAGACTGAAACTTTATATAAAAACAATTCTGGAGATTCATCCTTAAAAGAATGAAAACCAAAATAAATTTATTTATTGAAGAAATTGCATGATGACAGCAAAGCTGAGATTGCCCATCCGTGGCTTAAACCTGGCATGGTATTTTTTTTATCATCCCAAGAGTTGAGGAAGCCAGAAGACTAAATAAAAGAGAACTGAAAGTGAGGATGAAGCTCTTTCTTTTAGCTTGTGGGTTGGTTTCTGAACATTTCATTACCAGGCTAGGTAACATCTTTAACGGAGTTTAGAGGATGTCAGTGTAAAGTGTTCTTGTTTATAAGGGCTTCAGGTGTGGGTGTGTCAAGAGAGGGTCTTGTGATGGGCTTTCAGATGGGGAGGTTACATCAGGTCAAGGTCATTGGGAGGTGAACGTCTGGGGGGCTTAAATGAGTTGGTTGAAGGTCGGTGCTCTCTCCGGTTGGCTGTGTGGTTGATTTGGATTCTGAGGAGTTCATAGGCTGGTTGTAGGTCAATGTACCTGTTGATGGAATTGCTCCCCATCACAAGACCCATCAGAAGCCTCTCACTGATGACTCACACCTGACCCATCACAAGAATAGAGTAGAGTAGAATGGAACGGAAGGGAATAGAATAGAATCTGGAGGGGACTTTGGAGGTCTTCTAGCCCAGCTTCCCAGTTCAAGCAGGAGAATCTATACCATCTGAGACAAGTGACTGTCCAGTCTCTTCTTAAATACCTTCAGTGATGGAGCGCCCACGATTTCTGAAGGCAAGCTGTTCCAGTGGTTAATTGTCCTCAGTTTTAGGAACTTTCTCCTAAATTCCAGGTTGCTTCTCTCTTTGATCAGTTTTCAACCATTGTTTCCTGTCCTGCCTCTGGTGCTTTGGAGAATAATTTGACCCACTCTTCTTTGTGGCAGCCTCTCAAATACTGGAATATTACTATCTTGTCTCCCCTATTTCTTTTCTTTAGACTAGCAAAACCCGAGTCCTGCAGCCTGTTGTAGCCTCCAGGCCTTTGATAATCTTACTTGCTCTTCTCTGACCCTCTCTTGACACACTCACATGTGAAGCCCTTATAAACACTTAACCCTGACATCCTCTAAACTCCGCTAAAGATGTTACCTAGCCTGGTAACAAAATGTTCGGAAACCAATTCACAAGATTGGAAAACAAACCTTCACCCTCATCCTACACCCAAGCTACAGATATTCGCCACTATTGCAGAAATGAAAGTGTTGACCCCCCCTTGTAATTAATGTTCAGTGATGGAGATGTAAATTAAGGAGCAACAAGAGCAAAGTCAAAACCCAGAGTCATTGTTATATAACTATGTTAGATGCTTCTAGTGGCCAATAAACTGAGAGATGCAAAAAGCGAAAGGTTCCAAAGTGGGTCTTCCAAGAAATAGTATATTCGAGGCTCTGTATGGACAAACGCTCAACATTATTCAAAAAAACCAATTGTCGTTAATTTTCTCCACTCTCTTCAGAATCGTCGTTCCTCCTTATCTTCCCTTCATTCCCTAACATTTCATTTCTCCACAGTAATAAATAGCTCAAAAGTCCCAAATTTCTGATAATTTGTTTATACGGTTCTTTTCTGTGCTCATAAAGGGACTGACGTTGAGTTCACACGTTTCCACACTCCAGACAAATGTACGATTTTTCCTGGTGTGGGTCCATTGATGGGAAGTGAGGTTACTTGACAAACTGAAACATCTTCCACACTCCGAGCATTTATACGGTTTCTCTCCAGTGTGGCTCCTTTGATGGGAAGTGAGGGAACTTGATGAAGTGAAACACCTTCCACACTCCGAGCATTTATATGGTTTCTCCCCAGTGTGGATTCTGTTATGTACAGTATACTGATATTTTTGACTGAAGCTTTTTGCACAGTTCTTGCATTTGTAGGGTTTCTCCCCGGTGTGGATCATTTTATGAGCAGTAAGAGAACTTGAAACTGTGAAGCCCTTTCCACACTTCGTACATTTATACGGTTTCTCTCCAGTGTGGATTCTGTTATGTACAATATATTCTCCTTTTAGTCTGAAGCTTTTTGCACAGTTCTTGCATTTGTAGGGTTTCTCCCCGGTGTGGATCATTTTGTGAGCAGTAAGATAACTTGAAGTTGTGAAACTCTTTCCACACTCCGGGCATTTATATGGTTTCTCTCCAGTGTGGATTCTGTTATGTACAATATAGTGACATTTTTGTCTGAAGCTTTTTGCACAGTTCTTGCATTTGTATGGTTTCTCCCCGGTGTGGATCATTTTATGAGCAGTAAGATGACTTGAAGTTGTGAAGCTCTTTCCACACTCCGGACATTTATACGGTTTCTCTCCAGTGTGGATTCTGTTATGTACAGTATACTTATATTTTTGACTGAAGCTTTTTGCACAGTTCTTGCATTTGTAGGGTTTCTCTCTGGTGTGGATCATTTTGTGAGCAGAAAGAGAAGTTGAAGTTCTGAAGCCCTTTCCACACTCTGGGCATTTATATGGTTTCTCTCCAGTGTGGATTCTGTTATGTACAATATAGTGACCTTTATGTCTGAAGCTTTTTGCACAGTTCTTGCATTTGTAGGGTTTCTCCCCAGTGTGGATCATTTTATGAACAGTAAGAGAACTTGAAATTGTGAAGCCCTTTCCACACTCCTGGCATTTATATGGTTTCTCCCCTGTATGAATCCTTGTATGGTAAGTAAGGTGTTTTGCACAACGGAAGCTCTTTCCACATTCCTTGCATTCATACGGTTTTTCTCCGGTGTGGATTCTTTTATGGTAAGTGAAGGAACTTGAATTAGTGAAGAGTTTTCCACACTCTGCACATTTATATGGTTTCTCTCCAGTGTGTTTTTGGTTATGAACTTTATACTGATATTTTTCACTGAAGGTCTTTCCACACTTGGGGTATTCATATGGTTTCTCGCCTGTGTGACTCTTAAAATGGGAAGTGAGATTTTGTGGAAAATCGAAGCCCTTTCCGCATACCCTGAATTTGTACGGTTTTTCTCCTGTGTGGATCCTTTTATGGGAAGTAAGATAATTTGAGTCTCTGAAGCTTTTTCCGCAATCCAGGCATTTATATGGTTTCTCTCCTTGTATTCTCTGAGGCAAAGTAACGGAGAAGGTCCTTCGGAAACGTTTTCCATGTTCATTTTGTTTCTCTATCGTGTGGCTTCTGCAACAGTTGTATAATCCTGATTCGTTTGCGGGTATTTTTCCACACTCTGGCCAAGCCTCTTTTTCTAGCTGATCATCTTTGCCTGAGAAGTCACTGACAGCAACATGTGGTAAAGTAGAGCATTTCTCTAGCTCCCCTTTTAATTGTTTTTCCTGAGAACTTTGTTTTCCAAAAAATGTCTCTGCGTGTTTCATTCTGCCTTTTTGCAATGGTGCTGCTGATTCTTGGCCAGAATCCTTCATCTCCCGTTCACCACCTGCTTGGAGCAGAAAAAAAGGAAAAAAAAGAAAAAAAAGAAGAAAAGTTGACATAAAGTAGTGGTGGCGAACCTATGGCACACATGTCAGAGGTGGCACTCAGAGCCCTCTCTGTGGGCACATGTGCCGTCGTCCCAGCCCCTCCTCCCCCGACGGCCCCCTCATCAGCAGCCCCCCCGGAGGAGAGACACCCCCGAGCGCAGCCCGCACAGAGCAGAGCAGCCAAGGACATGGCAGCCGGGCAGCGGGGACAAGACTCCGCCCTCTCACCCCGTTGCGTGCAGTTGATGCTGCAGGGTGCGGGTGGAGAGTGTGGCTGCCATTGCGCCTTTGGGCCACTTGGGCGATCTGTGGTGGGTGGCCCTGCCGGTGGGTGGGGGCGGGGCAGGTGGGGGCGGGGCAGGTGGGGGTGGGGCAGGTGGGGGGGCGGTTATTGGGCACTCAGTCTCTAAAAGGTTTGTCATAACTGACATAAAGTAAGGTGCAAACAGACTCAGGCCTTCTCATTGTTGCATCTCTTGTTTGAACATTACTGTAATCAAAATTATGCCCGCACCCTCTCAAATCTTCTTCCTTTTATCTTTGTTTGTGATTCCTCTGCCTGTGTCTATCAGGGTATGTTCAAAACATGGGGTGATGCCTGGTACTGGTGTCAGGTCCCCAGAGAATATTGTTTCCTTATGCCTATTCCTGAATCTGTAACTTTTCTTTGTGGCCTGCTATTCTCTTGGGAGGGGGGATGTCTTGGGGATACTTTGCACTGTTAGGCTATGGTGCCCGTCCCCCAGGGGATGGAATGCATCACCCTTATCTGAGAGATGGTTGTGCTTGGAGCCAGAAGGAAACGAAAGCCAGAGAGACCTTGAAAGAACGTGCCAAAGAACCCAGTGATCAAAACACTATTCCACCTGTGGATTGGCTGGAATCAAATGAACACTGGATTCTGGGGGGAGGAGTATTGAATAATGCTTTTATTATATTGCTTCCATTGGTTTTTCCTCAGACCTCGCCTTGTTTTCCCTGCTATCACGAGCCCCTAATAAAAGTTCCTTTTGAGACAATGCCTGTTCTTTTTTCTTATGTGGCTTAGCTGAGGCAGCTCCTTACTATTGGGTTGATATGGGGTCTCTCTTGTCCTCCATGCTGCAGAATGAAAAACCTGAGGGTTCTGCTCTCTGAGCTTGCTTGTTTTCTTGCAGACGTTTCATTACCCAAACCAGATAACATTATCAGTGCTAGTAAGGAGTAGGGTTTGTTCTCACTCCTTACTGGCACTGATGATGTTACCCAGATTGGGTAAGGAAACGTCTGCAAGAAAACAACCAAGCTCAGAAAGCACCAAGGATCCCTCATTTCAACCATGAGCTGCAAATATTCTCCCTTATTAAGATCATGTAGACCAGGGGGTGCCCAACCTGTGGGCCGCAACCCACTACCGGGTCATCTCTCTTGACCACCGGGCTACGTGAGTGTCTTGCCAGTGTGCATGTGTGTGTCTGCGCGCACTCACCCTCCCACTCATGTTAGCGTCACCATCAGCGTTGCTGTGGTGCTAGTGTTGCCACGAGCGTCATGCGGGCAGATCACCGTGAGCGTCATGTGGGCCTTAGCGTCGCCGTGTAGCATGGGCGCTAAGATCGCCATGAGCATCGCAAGGGCTTTAGCATTGCTGTGAGCATGAAAGATAAATGGATGGATGGATGGATGGATGGATGGATGGATGGATGGATAGATAGATAGAGTGACTGGGTGGCTTAAAGAATGCTGAGGGAGATTGGCGGCTTAGAAACATGAAAGATAAATGGATAGATAGATAAATGGATGGATGGATGGATAGATAGGTAAATAGATAGGTAAATAGATAGATAGATAGATAGATAGATAGATAGATAGATAGATAGATAGATAGATAGATAGATAGATAGATAGATAGATAGATAGAATGGATACTTCCTCGGAGTAGAAAAAGGCTAGATCTCTTCCTGCTTCTTCCCAAGAGATGATATCTCTTTGGAGACTTTTTAATAAGAAACAGCGGATGGCATTTAATTACTAAACTCTCTGACGGGCGAATAGCAAACTTGCTTACCCAGAGAGGCCACATTCCTATAATTTTCCAGCATGACTTCCCAATGGAGCGCTTTTTGGTCAGAATCCAGCTGAGACCACTCCTCCTTGGAGAAATACACAGCCACCTCCTCGAAGGACACCAGACCCTCCTGAACAAGGAAAACANGTAAAATTGGAAGTGTCTTGGCGACGTTTCGACGAAGTCACATTTGTCATCTTCAGGCTGGTGTCTTCAGCTTCGTGCTTCTAGGAGTAATGTGTGATCGCTCCTAGAAGCACGAAGCTGAAGACACCAGCCTGAAGATGACGAATGTGACTTCGTCGAAACGTCGCCAAGACACTTCCAATTTTACGCGGGAGAAAACCCGAATAACCAAAGACCTACATACAAACACCCGCGAAAACCTCAGAAAACACACACACACATATATATATATATTATAAAAACAATCAAACACGAGCACCAGGAAAAAAATTAAACTAAAAGCGTTTAATTCAGTGCCAAGCTTTCGTCGGTTAACTACCGACACCATGAGGGCTTAACGCCAGTCAATGGGAGTGTCCTTTATAGAGTTAGTCAGTATCTGCACCTGGCTTCTGGATCTCGTCATCGGTCCTAGTTGATTGGACTGTGTGTTAAATGTATCCTTGATATCAATCAACATTGCTGTTTCGTTGCTTGCTCTCTTTCCTGCACCCTCCCCCTTTCTTGTGCGTGCATTATTGTTGTCTATCTACTCACCACAGGCTCCTGAGTTCCGCGTATTCCTTCCCCCCCTTTTTTGGCCGTACGTTTCATCCGTGTTTTTCCGGTTATTTCCTCTCACGCCATTGGGCCGTGTGGTAGGTATTCCCCTCTCCTGTTTCCCCCGTCATCCTCCTCATGTGTTCATGGTCACGACCTGTGCGTATATCACCTCCTACGACCCCCACCCCCTTCTCTTCATCTCCGATGTTCTTTTTGTCCGTATCGCCCCGATCGTCACATTGCAGTTCTCATTGGGATCTGTTGCCTCGGCCTGGTATAGGATGTGCATACTCACTTTTCACGGGGGTATTGCTGTGATGTGCGTTTGGGCCCATATGCTTCTTTCTCGTGGCCCTACGCATACATACCGGATTAGTTGGTGGAGTAGCCGTTCGTTCTTCCCCCCTTTTTTTGGATTCATTGTATAATTGGTATTGCAATCCTCATATGGCCCGTGGTGTCCTGAGTTGCTCTCTTCTCTTAAACGTGAGCGGGTTACTATTGTGGGATTATCAATGCAATGTTCAATCGATCCCACTTCACTGTTTCTGTGTTTTGTTGGCATCACATGTGCACGAACGCCTTTAATGTCGTTTGTTAGGCAGCTCGGAACCTCTCGTACAGGGGTTTCTTGCCAGTGTGTTCCAACTTTTGTTGCTTCGTTGGGGAGTGTTGTTCCTTTTGGGTGTCTTGGGGGTGGGTGGGTGGGGTCTCCTGCTATATTGGATTTTATTCCCCTGTTCGATAGCTCTCTTGCTCTTATGGAGCGCGTGCACATCCCCGAAGAGGGGGGTTTCGTTGGTTGTTGATTAACAGCCACTGTCTGGATGCCCATGGGTTGCAGTGGCATTTTTACCTCCCCTACAGTCCTATCCTTTTGATTTTGTGGCACATAGCTAGATTGTCTTCGTTGGGATGTATAGTTCTGTTTGTCCCATGTTCTCAATGCCTGGTGCGCTGGGCAGAGTTCTATATGCCGATTGATCGAATTTTATGTGTGTGTGTGTGTGTGTGTGTGTGTATCTAGAGTACATCTATCCAACTCTCTATTATTTATCTATCTCTATCTCTTTATCTAGCTCTTATCTTTCATCTATATATATATCATCTATCTATATGTCTATCTAACTATATCTATCATCCTCTATCTATCATTTCTCTAACATCTCTCTATCATCTATAATGATCATCTATCTATCTATCTATCTATCTATCTATCTATCTATCTATCTATCTATCTATCTATCTATCTATCTATCTATCTATCTATCTATCTCTCTCTTAGATTGGCTGAAGCGAGGATGAGAAAGCAGAGAAAAATTCCTGGGATTGAAGGAAATTTTACAAAGCAGGATAGTTTGGCTTCCAAATACATACACAAATCAGAGGATTAGAATTTATTTTGCAAGGCAAAAGTTCTTCGATTACATGCATGACAATTTTTACTTAGAGATTTTTCTGTTTGGCTACCTTCATTGGATTTTAATCTTCTGCCTTATCTTCTAATCCAGTGGTTCTCAATCTTTTTAATGCCGCGACCCCAACCAGTCGTAAGTCGAGGACTAAACTGGTCATAAGTCGAGGACTAAACCAGTCGTACGTCGAGGACTAAACCGGTCGTAAGTCGAGGACTACCCAACCGGTCGTAAGTCGTGGACTTTCCCTGCCCGGGAGCACCGCGCATGCGTGGTTCCGCCCCCTGCGCCGGCCGAGGCGTAGCTGGCAAGCGGCAGAGATGGAGCAGGCCGACCACCAGCTGGCCCAGCCCAAGGGAGGTAAGGCACCCGCCGGAAAAGGGGGAAAAATGGTGGACAAAAAAAATGGCGGACAGCCTTGCTTGGCGACCCCCATGAAATGGTCGATCGACCCCAAATGGGGTCCCGACCCACAGGTTGAGAACCACTGTTCTAATCTTTTCACCGGTTGAAGAAGGCTTTTTGAAAATGGTATTGCACTATTTAAGTATTTATGTATTTTTGAACAATATTGCACAATTCCAAATCAAAGAATAATTACAAAACGAATAGGTGCAGTTTAGTACTTGCTGCCCATGTGATATTCCTATCTCTTGAAGGACTCAAGAGTGTGTGTAACTAATAGTAGGAAAGGTATCTAGAAAAAGGGGGAGTTAAGTACTGGTCTTAAAAAAAAAGAATTCTTAATATAAATCTCAAGGTAGAATTTACAAACCATTGTAGCCAAACAATAGACTTCAGAGGGGGCTAAGCTGACTGAGAGCAATTTGAATCTTCTATTCCCCATACCATGTTGCTCAGGAATACAAAAATATCCAAGCCAGAAGAAGAAAGAATTATGGAATCATTGAGTATCAGAGATGGAAGGGGCCTTGGAGGTCCTCTATTTCAACCCTCTGCTCAAGAAGGAGGCCCTGTACCATTCTGGACAAATTTTTGTCTAATCTCTTCTTGAAAACCTCCAGTGATGAAGCATCCACAGCTTCTGGAGGCAAGCTGTTCCAACGATTGATTGTTCTCACCGTCAGGAAATTCCTCCTTAGTTCTAGGTTGCTTCTCTCCTTGATAATCTTCCATTCGTTACTTTTTGTCCTGCTCTCAGTTGCTTTGGAGAACGGCTTGATCCCCTCTTCGCTGTGACTGCCCTCAAGTATTGGGAAACTGCTGTCATGTCACCCCAAAACTCTTCTTTGCTAGACTAGACATATCTAGTTTCCACAACCATCCATTGTAGTTTAGCCTCCAAACCTCTAATCATTTCTGTTGCTCTCCTCTGCACTTTTCTTAGAGAACGGAAGGAGAGAGTGCACTGTGTACCATTGTGACTTCCTGAAGGAAAGGGAGAATTTGAATCTAATAAGTAAGGCTTTAGTAAGACCACACCTAGAATACTGCATCCAGTTTTGGTCACCTTAGTATAAAAAAGACGCTGAGACTCTAGAAAAAGTGCAGAGAAGAACAACAAAGATGATTAGGGGACTGGAGGCTCAAACATTTGAAGAACGGTTATAGGAACTGGGCATGGCTAGTCTAGTGAAGAGAAGGACCAGGGGTGACATGATAGCAGTGTTCTGATATTTGAGGGGCTGCCACAGAGAGGAGGGGGTCAACCTATTCTCCAAAGCACCTGAAGGCCAGACAAGGAATAACAGATGGAAAATGATCAAGGAGAGATTCAACCTAAAAATAAGGAGAATTTTTCTGAGGGTGAGAACAATCAACTAATGGAATGTATTGCCTTCAGAAGTTGTGGGAGCTTCATCACTGGAGACTTTCAAGAAGAGACTAGACTGCCATCTGTCAGAAATTGTATAGGGTCTCCTGCTTAGACAGGGGATTGGCCTAGACCAGGGGTAGGCAACCTTGGCTCTTTTTTGACTCATGGACTTCAACTCCCAGAATTCCTGAGACAGCCATGCTAGCTCATGAATTATGGGAGTTGAAGTCCACAAGTCATAAAAGAGCCAAGGTTTCCCACCCCTGGCCTAGACTTACAAGGTCCCTTCCAACTCTGTTATTCTATTTTATTAGTGAATTTGCTCCTCTTACTTGAGTTGCAGGTTCAACCACTGTTTCAGCTGCACCATACAGAGCAGACAACTCCACTGTAGTCTTCCCTGTGAGGAAAAACAGAATTTTAAAAAGCATAATTAATAACACAGGAAGAGAGATTTTAGAGAAGAGGAGAGAGTTTGGGACTTTCTGGAGAATTGAGGACCTTTGATTACCTCCCAAGGTGTCCAGACTTGGATCTTCCAGAGAAACGCTCCTCAAAAACAACTCCTGAGGAGAATTTGATGGATTCCTGCTTCCCTCAGAAACTCTGATGTCCTTTGTGAAGGACTTGAAATAGGAGACAGGAGAAAAGAAGAATTAGTGGACATCACACAATACAAAGTGGATTCTTGAAAGCCTCCAATGTTCATCAGTGAAGCTGGAAAATAAGAAAGGAATATCTGTCATCATTTTTTTATAACAAATAATGAAACAATATCCTACAAGAATTAGTGAAACATCTCCACATATTATGAATTCCAGAAACCTGGTAGGGAGAGGTCTATGGAGATTCTCAGTCATTGAGGTCATGGTTGTCCCAAAGGTGCTTTTTCAAGAGGCAACTGGGCTTTCTTTTTTTCTCTTTGAAGACATTTCGCTTCTCATCCAAGAAATGTCTTCAGCTGTGAGTGGATGGTGCAGAGTGGAAGGATTTATATTTCTTGCAGGCAGCTGGTCATTTTCATTGTTTTAGAGAGTCGTTGAGGCCACTTGGAGGTTTATCTGTGTCCTCAGGGCCAGCTGAGTAGGGCAAATGGTGTAGACCCTTCTTGGAACTGCTGAAAGGACTGTGTTGTAGACTGGATATAAATTATGTTCTATCCCCCCCCTATATTGAGAGAGGGCTATTCAACATCATCTATCTCCAGTCTACAACACAGTCCTTTCAGCAGTTCCAAGAAGGTTCCACAACCATATGCAATGATGACCCTGAGAACACAGATAAACCTCCAAGTGGCCTGAACTACTCTCTAAAAGAATGCAAATGACCAGTTGTCTGCAAAGAGTATAAATCCTTCCATTCCTCACCATCCCATTAGAGCTGAAGAAGCTTCTTGGATAAGAAGAGAAATATCTTCAATGAAAAACAAGAAAGTCCAGTTGCCTCGTGAAAAAAGCACCTTTGGGCCTCTGGAAGGGAGGGGTGAAGAATTCAACCACATTCTTTATTCTAATCAACCCTTTCTGGGCTCCCAAGGTGAAGGTCTCTCACCTGCTCCTTCTGCTCCCCTGCCTGGCTCAGGAGAAGGCCTTC